TCACAGAAATACATTACAGTTTAACAGATATTCACATTGAAAACACCTGGTTTAGATTGTAAAAATATTTCACATTTTTCACAGTTGTTACTGTATTTTTACGCAGAAGAGACTTTTTTAAAAAACATAAAAAATCTCACCGACCCCAAACTTCTGAATGCTAGTGTATGTATGTTTTAACTTTGTGAATGCAAACTAACATGTATTTTCTTGTATGTAAAGCACTTTGTAAACACTGTTCTCATATCATAGTATCTCAGTGACACTAATTGGACACTGCTGATCGTCCGCACGTATAAATGCTTATATATGTACCTGTGAGTGTGTTTCGGGCGCTCTCTCTGCGGGCCACTCGGCGTCTCGCTCCTGATCCTGGTCTCGCTCTCGCTCTCGGTCTCGGCTGCGGGTGCGATGTCTGCTGCCCTGGTGTGTGTACGAGCGGGACGATTTCTGCATCAGCGCCTGATCCGGCCCCTCACTCGGCACCTGACCAATCACACGCGGCACAGCGCTGTCAATCACCTCCACATGACAATATCACAACTAACAGACAAACAACAGAGAAAAACAGCCCAGGAAAGAAGCATAATATGGGTTTTTCTATCACAAGTGGATTTTATAAATATTCTGATTCTCTCCCCACAGGGATTTCTTTTTAAAATTATTTTTAAAATTATTATTAGCTTATATACATTTTAATATAATTATTAATATTAATATTTTTTATGATGATGATAATGATGATTATTATTAACCAGATTAACCAGACAATAAAAACACTAACGGCTCTTCACATAACATAATCTTTTAATATGACTTTATATATATTTTTTTAATTATTATTAATATTACTTTTATGATAATGATGATGATGATGATGATTATTTACCAGATAAGTGAGTACAAATACTAATGGCTTTTCAAATCATAATATTATCTTTTAATATGATTTTATATTATTTTTTATTATTAACATTACTTTTATGATTATGATGATGATTATTATTATTATTATTAACCAGGTTAGACACAGTAAAAACACTGATGACTTTTCACAACATCATATTTTTATTATTTTTAAAATTGCTTTATATTAATATTCACATTATTATTAATATGACTTTTTATGATGATGATTATTAACTAGATCAGACAAAGTAAAAACACTGATAGTTTTTTTTAATCATCATAGCATTATTTTTAATATTACTTCATAATAATCTTAATTTAACTTAAGATGATTAATTTATATTAATTTTAATATTATTATTATTACATTGTATGATGATAGTGATGATTATAAACCAAATTAAACAAAAATAAAACACTAATGTCTTTTCACAACATAATTTTTTTTAAATATTATTATATATTAATATATTAATATTAATATTAGTATTCATTTTTATGACTATTAGTTTATATAACTTTTTATATTATTATTAATATTGCGTTTTATGATGATAATTACTAACCAGATTAGACACTGTAAAAACACTAATGACTTTTCAGTACATCATATTATTATTTTTTTAAACATTACTTTATTAATTTATTTATATTCCAGATGATTCTGGAAGAAATTAGTTTAGCATTTTTATTAATATATTTTTATGGGTAAATCTCACAACAACAAAAAAATCTAGTTTCTGTAATATAATTGAAATAATCATGTTTGATTGGACATGATTTTTTTTTGTAAATAAAAAGCAACAAATTAAATTCAGTACACAAATACTACACTGACACAACTTACTGTACCACTTACAGCTGCATTTACAATAATACAGTGTTGGTTTTGAAATGAAAATGTGATTTTTTTTTCCTGCATTACAGAAAATGTGTTTAATTTTCTGTAAGCAAAATATAATTTACAGTTTTCCTTTGATTTTGGGCTGTAATATGACATGAACGTGTGTTCAAACTCTTGCATTGACTTCAATCTGTTTCTGTGGAAATTTTTTAAACCGCTTAGTTGTGAATAAAATGGGAAAATGCATTCAAATCTACACAAGATGCAAATATGGGTGGAGTCATTCTAATGACATGATGACATCACAGATCTTACGACCAATGAGGAGACACGTACCCAGCCCAACTCAACAGAAATGATTAGTGTTGTTAATCATGCAGCGAGAGCGGTTTAGTGTGTTAGCGGCGGACTGTATGGGATTAGATCTCTGCCACAATTCTGGGAAAAAAGCAAAAGTGTGTTTTGCACACGCGCGAACTGAGTTTTGTGGAGAA